GGGGGGGGGGGGGGGGGGGGGGGGGGGGGGGGGGGGGGGGGGGGGGGAGCTCCATCCCAGGGCCCTGAGATCATGACCTGAGCCAAAGGCAGAGGCTTTAACCCACTGAGCCACCCAGGCGCCCCTATACCTCAATTTTTAAAAGATTTTATTTATTTGACAGAGCTTCTGAGCAAGTGAGCAAGAGAGAACACAAGCAGGGGGAGCAGCAGGCAGAGGGAGGTAAGGGCCTTGAGGTGTTATTACTATTCTCGGTCTTTCCAGTGACATGTTTTGTTGGTAAAATAGGGCTTTGTGCAAAGGTTGGGAGGCCAAAGCAGCGGATTAGTGGTAATGGAGGTTGTGGTGCCCTGGGGAAGGCAGGAGAGCCTCATTACGAATGGCCCTTGCCTGAACTTCCTTTTTCATTTTTTCTGAGCGTCCCGACATTCCAGTTGCTTTTTACCCACCCCCTGTGCCACTAGTGAGATGTGAGTCATATCCGGTTTTCAGTTTTCCGGGTAATTACAATTCAACCGTGAGTCAGTGGGGTGTGGGGTGAGGGGTGAACTGGGGTCTGAGGGAGTCATCCTGTTGAGATCAGTAGTTGGGCAATTCGATTATCAGTTTGTGTAACCACAGCACATTCCAAAGCTTAACACATTCTCTTCTCTCTTATTTTTTCTCTTACTCATTCTCCTTTTCACCTGGGCTGTCCAACACAACTTCCAAATATTTGCTAGCCAAAGATGGGGGAAGACCTCACCATCAGGAAGACCCCGCCCTTACTTTTTATCAGGACAGGTCATCCAAGAGCTAGCCCACAGCTCCGGACAAGGTTTGAATAAAAAGCTAAGAGTGGGGGCGCCTGGGTGGCTCAGTGGGTTAAAGCCTCTGCCTTCGGCTCAGGTCATGATCTCAGGGTCCTGGGATTGAGCCCCGCATCAGGATCTCTGCTTAGCAGGGAGCCTGCTTCCTCCTCTCTTTCTGCCTGCTTCTCTGCCTACTTGTGATCTCTGTCAAATAAATAAATAAAATCTTTACAAAAAAAAAAAGCTAATGAATTTTACTGTTAACAGGTGTAGCCAGGCAACAGTCAGCTGGGAAATTAATCAATCCCATGGCCTTCCTAGTGGGGAAAGGGATCAGGAACAGCAAGTGCCGAGAGACAGGACATCAGATGGGTGTCCCCACAGCAGACAGCACCGTTCTGAGCAAGGGGACAGAGCCCGTCCTGTTAGCCGCATCACCACCCGAGGAAACCTCAGGGCTTCCTCCCTGTTGGACAAGCAAGGTTTGTGTTTTACTTGTCGGTTTCACTTGAATTCCAGTAAAAGCAAACTGGAGCGCCCACTCCACTATCTCCTCATGCTGGGGATGCCTAAAATTACACAGAAACCACACACACCCACACCCCACCCCAAGTGCCTAAATCTCTAAACTCTAGCCTTTAAGTCTCTCCTGTCACATGCGACAAGCCAGGAACAAGGTCATTGAAACAGAAAAGGAGACTGCCCAGTTCTGCTTTTTCTCCAGCATGCAAATGAGGTGGTAAATGCTTTCTATGTTTTCTTTCCCATGCTACTGAAGATGTTCCTCAGGAGAATCAAAATTATAGACAGAATCATTTCCTTGAAAAAAGAAATGGCTGGTGCTAACAGACTCAGCGCAATACGAATGAGAAATCAATTTGCCAGTGTGTTTTTCCAAACTAGGTGACGCCAAGGTATTTTCCTCAGGCGTGATCTCAGTGGAAGATTTTGTGGTCGGCTCCTTTGGGGAGGGCTTTGTTTCTGTGATGGTTCCTTGCTGCTTACTTCCACAGTGTCTTATCAACAAATGTGACGTCCTTGACAGCCCAGGGAGGGAAAGTGCGGACGTTATTATTGTGCTTAACAAGGGATATGAAGGCCGTCAAAGCCCGAAGCAATAAAGGCATCTAGATTAGGATCTTATCAAGGGAGGAATCCTACAGATTAGAGCCAGAATATCCTGGAAAGGCAGAATGATCCACATAATTCCCCTTAAAGGTCTGCAGTCTCAAAAAAGGTTCTCCCTTTCTCCAGTGTTGCACCGCAAGAAAAGTGTGCCCAGCAATGACCAATGAATCTTCCCAGGGCGTGTTGCTGAAACAGACACAGCTCTTAGCGAGATGCTCCGCTTTTCTGAATTTGGGTGTGCCCTGGGCATACCGGATACTCCGCACACAACTGTTAAGTGGTTTGGATCTGGCTAAGTGAAGGCATGCAGTCCAGATTCCAACAACTCCCATTTCCAAGGAAAAAGAACAAGAAATCCCATCCCCCTCCTACCCCCCCACCCCCAAAATGCTTTAAAGACCGCTAAGGAGCACACTGGGGCAGCCAGGGCTGTTAACACCAGAGAAGTAACTTCTGGCCCTCAGGAGTCTGGGGAACACATCAGGACTCTGAGCCTCCCTGAGAACATGGGAGGCCACTCAGTGAGAGAGAAAACTGAAGTAAAGCAATACATCCTGCTCAAGGCATCACCGCCTGGAGTTCCTCTTAGGGATGAAAAAAATCAAGAGCCGAGAGAATCGAAAGAGAGAGCTTTCAGGAGGTGCATTTCCAATTTGGGGGGGCACAGCTCATCAAAGGAACACCAAAATTGGACAAATCAAGCAGCGGACCCCAGAGCAGCTCTGGACAAGACTAGAATCCCAGTCAGGGCTTGAAGGGCTAAGCAGCCCGGTCCCACCGGTCCTTCCCAAAACTGCTCCTCCTGCAGTTGTATCAGAACCCCAAGGAGAGCGGAAACTAAAGCAAGCAACCGCATCTTGCTCAAGACTCGACTGCCATGATTTCCTCTTAGGGATGGAGTACATCAGCGTTTGAAATACAAGTCAATTAAATGCCTCTTGACAAGCCATGCTCCCTCCTCATCACGCAACTGGGTGGCGGAGTTAATCCCAACAACCCCCGGCAGCAACCTCAGGGAAAACCCGATGTGTCACTGATAGGAATTCCACGAGGTCACAGCTCCCCGCACAAAGCCGCCCCTCCCCTCCCGTCAATACAAAAAGTTTCCCGCAATCCTGTTATCAGAGAATCCCAATGCTTTTGGGGGCTACTCGGGTTCTAAGCAGGAAATGGACCATTTATCTCAGATCCAGGGCGAGGTCAAATGCCTCCGGCAACTCACTTAGAGCCACGGGGTAACTCAGGACCGCTAGCACCAACTAGCCTCGCTCAACTAAACCCATTCAGAGCTTCTGAACAAAAAAAGGCCACCCTGAGGGATCCGTCCGACGTTGCCGCCTCCCGGTCCCTGCCCCGGTGGAAGGTCTCCGCGAATTTCCCTTCGGGGGCGACCGAGAAGGGGCGGGCGTTTCGGAGGCCACGTTTCGGCTCCGGGAGGAACGGAGGCCCTGAGGGTGGCCTGGGGGCGCGTAGGCGAATTCGACCCAGGCCGGGGCAGCGAGGGCGGCCTCCAGGACAAAAGAGGCTCCCCTGTGCTCGCGGAGGAGACTTCGGGGGCCCGGGACGCGTCGCCCGCTTTGTTGTGACAGGCAACCAGGACGGACGCTAGGGAACGCGGGCGGTTGCCTCACCTGAGCCAAGGGCGGTGGGAGACCCCAGCCTCACCTCGAGCCCCGCCCCGCGCGCCCCCCCACGCCGCAACCGCCACCCCCTATTGGCCAAGGGGAGTGGCTCGAGGCTCGCGTGTTCCGATCGCGCCCAATGGGAGCTCGGGGACTGGCCCTCGGGGGCCGGAGGCGGGGCTGGAGGCGGTGGCCACCGGCCGAAGCGCGCGTGCGGCGCCAGTGAGGAAACAACGCCTCGGACCCCGGGCTCCAGGGCAGCCCTAGAGGGTTACAAAGACACCTGAGCCGCCTGGGGCATTTCTGTCCGCGGGGAGACGAGAGGGCGCCCGCAGGGAACCCCCCAGGCTGAGCCCCCGAGGTCCTGGTAGTCCTCACCCCAGAACAACTCGGTGGGGGCGTCCCTGCCTCCCTACGGCTGGAGGGCCCCCTGTCCCGTTCTGAAGAAGGGGGTCCCCCCATCTGGCGGAGACTCTTGGGAAAAGCCTCACCTGCTTCTCGTGACCTCCCCACATCTCCAAACCCTCGCAGTCCTTCAACCGTTTGGACGGGACTAAGTGCCGTTTTCCCCACACATCTTTCAAGGATGGGGTGGTTTTCCGCAGCTCCCAGAGTTACCAAGGGGCTCCCCGAGTTCTGGGGGGGGTCACACTCCATGGCACGCGAACGCTTGGAGCCAGCCTTACCTGCCGCCCCCATCGCTGCGAGGAGCAGGGCGGCTGTCCAGCACAGCCCCCAGCCTGCGGGTCTCATGCTCCCAGCCTCCGCCCTCGAAAGCGCCAGCCCCGGGCTCGGTCCGTAAAGTCCGTGCGGGAAAGGTGGGCTTCGAGCCGTCGGGTGGCAAATGCATGCGGGGCCCCAGTCATTTGCAGCATTTCTATGAGAGTTTCCTCGCTGGGGGAGGAGCTTGCGGTGGGGTGATTTTCGAATATCTTCGCCTCACTGCGGGAGGAGGAGTTTCGAGAGGAGGAGTTTGGAACGGCCGAGGCGACTGGGGCTGGTTAACCCTTGAAGTCCTGACTCGGATTCCAGTCTTTTCCAAAACTTGCTTCCAAATCATCTAACAGGCTAACGACCATCTATCTCCCCTCTGCCTCCAACGGAAAAACGAGACGTCAGAAACTTTACCCTCTCCTTTCTCTACTTGCTTTTTCCTTTCTAGGAATCGTATATATAGATTTTAACTGAGTTTAATCCCGTATAGTTTTGAGACGATTCTTCAGAATTGGTCTAAAGAGGACTCGGTGAGGAATTTAAATAAAATCTTCACACACGTTTCAGCCCCAAACTGATCTTGTCTTGTGGGATCCAGCACTTGGATGAATACCAGCGAAAGCATCTCTAAAATCAATGTATCCGTCCGGGGTCTGGACATAAATACGGATTTGTTCTCTTAGGAGAAAATGTTAAACAGGCTGCTGCTTCCTCTCCCCAAAGCAAAAATCAAAATAAGGGTGCCCGGGTGGTTCAGTGGGTTAAGCCTCTGCCTTCAGCTCTGGTCCTGGTCTCAGGGCCTGGGATTGGCCCCAAGTTGGGGGGGGGGGTCTCTGCTCGGCAGGGAGCCTGCTTCCCTTCCTCTCTCTCTGCCTGCCTCTCTGCCTACTTGTGATCTCTCTCTCTCTCTCTGTCAAATAAATAAATAAAATATTTTTTTAAAAAATCAAAATAAAACAGTTTTTAGCGTTGAACCTGATTGCCTTAATCACAGAGAGCTGATGGAGAACAGCTTTTAAGAATCAAAGTCTTGAGGGCATCTGGGTGGCTCAGTGGGTTGAAGCTTCTGCCTTCGGCTCAGGTCATGATCCCAGGGTCCTGGGATCCAGCCCAGCAGCTCCTCATTGGGCTCTCTGCTTATGAGGAGCCTGTTTCTCCCTCTCCCTCTGCCTGCTGCTTCCCCTGCTTGTGCATGCTCTCTGTCTCCGTCAAATAAATAAAATCTTGGGCGCTTGGGTGTCTCAGATGGTTAAGCCTCTGCCTTCTGCTTGGGTCATGATCCCTGGGTCCTGAGACTGAGTCCCACATCTGGCTCCCTGCTCAGGGGGAAGCCTGCTTCTCCCTCTGCTTCTCTCTCTCTGTCTCTCATGAATAAATAAATAAAATCTTAAAAAAAAAAAAGCCTTGGGGGAAAAAAAAAAAAGAATCATCTCCTTTGGGATTCATGAAGTTTCCAAGACCCCTTGCCAAAAAGGCACCTGTGAGAATCTTGCCTGAATCCCATAAAGGGTCTGGCAAATCTTGTGTGGGTCCCACCGGAATAAGCAAAGTCCTCTGAAGTTTTACAGATTGAGCTTGGCTGAATGTACTAATCTCTCAGCAGGCTTTTGGGGACCCCTCGCCCCCCCCAGAGGAGGCAAAAAAAAAAAAGAGGTAGAAAGGGGACAACTGAACCCTCAGAGGGAAAAAAAAAAAGGGGGTGATTAATCCAGAGTAAGAAAGAGCAGTTAAGAGCCCCAGCTTCAGAATCAGGCAGACCCTGGGTGAGTAAATGAGCTTTTCCAAGGTGGAAAGGGGAGGAAATAATGCTTGTTTCCTTTACTTGGCAGGTTCTGTGAGGGGGTCAAATGAGATAATTAGCAATTACTTAGGAAAATTTGTGGGGTTTTGTTTGTTTTATTTTGTTTTTTAAGATTTTTACTTGTTTATTTGACAGTGCACAGGCAGGGGGAGCTGCAGGGAGAGGGAGAAGCAGGCTCCTTACTGAGCAGGGAACCCAACTTCGGGCTGGAACCCAGCTCAGGGCTTGATTCCAGGACCCTAGGATCATGACCTGAGCTGAAGGCAGACACCTAAATGACGGAAACATGAAGCACCCCTTTTCTTGAGGATTTTATTTTTAAGTCATTTCTACACCCAATGTGAGGCTCAGATTTACAACCCCAAGATCGAGAGTCACATGCTGTATTGATAGCCCGAGAAGCACCCTTCAAATTTCTCATTTTTATGCTGGTATTCTCACTGCCACTTTAAAAAAAAAAAAACTTAATTTATTTATTTGACAGAGGGAGATCACAAGTAGGCAGAGAGGCAGGCAGACAGAGAGGGGGAAGCAGGCTCCCTGCTGAGCAGAGATCCCGATGCAGGGCTCCATCCCAGGACCCTGAGATCATGACTTGAGCCGAAGGCAGAGGCTTTAACCCACTGAGCCACCCAGGCGCCCGAACACTGCCACAGTTTTGGAAACCTGTATTGCACCTTCAATCTAATAATAAATATTAGGTTTTTTTTTTTTTATATTAGTTTTCTAAACAAAAATCCTTCCACAGAATCCATTTCATTTGAAAGTGGCTGGGCTTGCATAATCCTCATTCCAATGGACACCCTGCCTTGTCCTGGTTTTTACCTCTAATTCATGGGGAGGCTCAGAACAGAGTGAGCCTCTGCCCAGAGGCACCTGGCCTTTTGGCAGAAGTGAGCCATGCCAGCTGCAGCCTGCCCTTTGGCCCAGAAGTCTGCAGAGAGGTAAGTATTCATGGGGACCTTGGCGTGTTCCCGTAGGTGTGATCAAGGACCTGACTCTATTAGGCCTTCAGTTATCTCCATCAGACGCCCATTAGCCACGTGAGAGCCGAGGCTCTGGCTTCCATCTCCAGAGCCTGGCTCTGGTAAGGTAATGAAAATAAGGGAAAATAAAGGAATTATCATTGGCAAGGCTGCCGTATCAGAGATGCACTGTTTCTGAATTCCACTTCTGTTAGGATTTTGATAATGCAGAACTCAACTTTGATCCCCAGCTGATAGTCTTTCCTTTCAAACATAACAGATGGGGGCGCCTGGGTGGCTCAGTCCATTAAGCGCCTACCTTCTGCTCAGGCCGTGAGATCAAGCCCCATGTTGGGCTCTGTCCCCAGAGCAGAGTCTGCTTGGGATTCTCTCTCCCTCTGCCCCTTACCTCTGCCTTCAGGGGCTCACTAAAAGAGTAAATAAATAAATGAATAAATAAGTGAATGAATAAATAAATAAAATATAATGTTAAAAAAAGATTTCCACACTGAAAGCTAAAAAACATTACTGAGTGAAATTCAGGGGTGCCTAGATGGCTGAGTCAGTTAAGTGCCTGCCTTTGACTCAAGGTCATGATCCTGGGGTCCTGGAATCGAGTCCTGCATTGGTCTCCCTGCTCAGCTGGGGAGCCTCCTTTTCCCTCTGCCTACTGCTCCCCCTGCTTGTGCTCTCACACACTCTCTCCCTCTGTCAAATAAATAAACAGAATCTTTTAAAAAATTTAAAAAGACAAATAAATGGAAAGACATCACAGGTTCATTGATTGGAAGACTTCATACTGTTAGTGTCACCACTACCCAAAGCACTCTACAGATTCAGTGTAACCCTTATCAAATGTCCCATGATGTTATTAGCAGAAATAGAAAAATTCACCCTAAAATTTATATAGAATCTCAAGAGACCCCAAATAAAATGATCTTAAGAACAAAGTCAGATGGGGTGCCTTGGTGGTTCAGTGGGTTAAGACTCTGCCTTCGGCTCAGGTCGTGGTTTCAGGGTCCTGGGATCAAGCCGGGCAATAGGCTCTCTGCTCAGCAGGGAGCCTGCTTCCCCCTCTCTCTCTGCCTTCTTCTCTGCCTACTTGTGATCTCTCTCTGTTAAATAAATAAATAAAATCTTAAAAAACAAAACAAAACACTATGGTACTGGCATAAAGACAGACAAATAGACCAAAGGACTAGGATAGATAGCCCAGAAATGAACCATGTATATCTGGTCCAGTGAATTTTTATAAGGCGCCAAGATCATTCAATGAGGTCAGGGTGGTCTTTTCAATAAATGGTATTGGGAAAACTGGATATTCACATGCACAGTGATGTAGTTGGACAAGTGTTAATTTCAGCAGGTACAAAAATTAACTCAAACTGGAACAAAGACATAAAAGGAAGAACTAAAATTATAAAACTCTTAGAAGAAAAAAATAGGAATATGTCTTCATAACACTGGATTTCACGATCATTTCTTGGATGTGACACCAAAAGTGCAGGCAATGAAAGAAAAAATAGGTAAGGGGGATTTCAGAAAAGTTAAAAACGATCATGCATCAGAGGACACTCTCAACAGAATGGAAAGGCAATGTACGGAATCAGACCAGATAATTGCACATCCTGTATCTGGTAAGGGTCTAGCATCCAATATACGTAAAGAATCCCTACAACTCAACAGTAAAACAGACATTCCAATTTAAAAAATGAGGAAAAGACTTGAATACTTATTTCTCCAAAAAAGACATAAAAATGCCCAGTAAGGGGCACCTGAGTGGCAGAGTTGGTTGAATGTCTACCTTCGGCTCAGGTCATGATCCCAGGGTCCTGGGATCGAGCACTGTATCAGGCTCCCTTCTCTGCAGGAGCCTGCCTCTCCCTCTTCCTCTGCCTGCTGCTGCCCCTGCTCATGGTCTCTTTCTCTCTCTGTGTCAAATAAATAAAATCTTAAAATAATTTTTTGGGGGGGCACCTGGGTGGCTCGGTTAAGCAACCGCCTTTGGCTCAGGTCATGATCCCGGGGTCCTGGGATTGAGTCCCACATTGGGCTCCCCCTGCTCTGTAGGGAGCCTGCTTCTCTTTCTCCCTCGGCCTGCCACTCCCCAATCTGTGCTCTCTCTCTCTTTCTCTGTGTCAAAGAAATAAATAAAATCTTAAATTTTTTTTTTAAGATTTTATTTATTTATTTGACAGAGAGAGAGAGAGAGAGAGATCACAAGCAGGCAGAGATATGCCGGCGGGGCGGTGGCGGGCAGGGGGGAAGCAGGGTCCCCTCCGAGCAGAGACTCTGATGTGGGGCTCGATCCCAGGACCCTGAGACCATGACCTGAGCCGAAGACAGAGGATTTAATCCACTGAGCCACCCAGGCACCCCCCCCCCAATTTTTTTAAATGGCTAATAAGGGCATG